CTTAGTTTTGCCAGATTCTGAACTTTGTATCAGTGGACTCATACAGGATCTACTCTTTTGTGTCTGGGCATTTTTCCCCCCTCAACCTTGTTTCTGTGATTTGTTCATACTATTGTATATAATTATAGTGTGTTCATTCTCATTGCTGGTAGTATTTCATTATATGAATATTCCACAGTTTATCTAAATTTCATATTATTGATGGGCATTTGGACAGTTTGTTTTGATTATTATATAAATAGTGCTGCTAAGAACATTTTGTGCTTTTGGTGTACAGAAATATGTACATTTCTGTAGGTTATGTACCTGGGAGTCATAGATATGCTGGTCCAAACTCGCATATGTTCAGCTTTATTAGATATTGATTGTACACTCCCACCAGCATGGCTGCCTTTTATCTTAAGAAAATGCAGGTTTGAATTTTTTTAACTCTGTTTGAGATAAGTGTACATTTACATGCACTTGCAAGAAATAATACAGAGAGATCCCCATACCCTCTATTTAGTTTCCCACAAAGGTAACTTGTAAACTTATAGTTTTACCTTGTAAAACTATAATATGGTATCACAACCAGGATATAGACAATGATATAGTCAGGATATGGAACGGTTCCATCACAAGGATTCCTCGAGTTTCCCATTTTAGCCACACCTACCCTCCACTTTAAACCATTTTTTCTGCCTGATGTGAAGTTAATAGGCGAGGAAACAATAGATGATCCTTTTGCTACAGAAATGTTTTCTACTAAGGTGAAGTAGCCCACAGAGAAGTATTGAAACAAGTGTTCAACAGGGATGACTAGCCTATGTTGGAAGGATATGCATTCATAAACAGCCGTATTCAGACTAGAAGTGAGCAATGAAGTTTACTAAAGATAGATCAATTTTGTGCCTGTGTAGATGGTTTTATAATAAAACTGAGATCATTCCACCTTCTGTGAATCCTAGGGTGTTAATCAAGTACGTGTTTTAGCATATGAATAATAAAGCCCAAGTAGTTGCTGGGAAACACTGGGAGGATTAGGGAGGGCTTGCTTCCTCTAAGTCTTCAGAAAAATTTCCCTTTTCCTTCTCTGCAACAGTTTTTCATAAATTAAATACCGGTGTTTTTATTTTATTCACCTCAGGGGGCAATATTCCATTACTCATAGGAGTTCAGACACTGGAGTCTGACAGGCTTAAGTTGAAATACTGGTTCGTTACTTAGTAGTAACTGTGGACAAATTCTCTTAACCTTGGTTTTCCCTTTTGTAAACGAATAATAGCATATTGCTATAATAAGGATTTTTGAGGCTTAAGTGGGATTTTTTATGTAAAATGTGGATTTCTCTTGCTCAGCTTGCTGTTGACTTTGCTGTGGATTTAACCCTCTTTCTATAGGTACAAATGGAGACCACTTGTCATGTCTAAATTCTTGCCCATGTTTGAGTCCAGCATCCATTCATCTAGCATAGTTCTGCTGTTCCTTCAATGTCTACCTATATTCTTGAGTCAGGCTATGAACATTACCTTAATTATCACCGTACTTTTTCTTCCTTTGCTTTCAAATGCTTTTAGTGTTTACTATTTCTTTCTTGTAATTCTCCTATAGTGTAGACACCATTTAGGGCACAGTCATCTCCTTGTCACATTTTAAAATAATCACTAAAAATTTGAGATTTTGTTATAAAAAAATGCAAATGTTGACAAATATTACATCTCAAACTTAAATCCCGATTCCATAAAACCCTACCACCACAACCTTCTCTTACAGTCTTCACCATTTCAGTAGCTGTCTAGTTGCTCAGGCTAAAATTCTTGGCATCATCCCTGACTCTTTTATTTGTTCCACTTTCAACGTCTATATATCAATAAGTCCAATGGACTCAGCAGACTTATCTAATATAACTTGCCAGCTCCTCATCCTTTAACCAACCTGTTCTAACCAATCACCATGTCTCATTTCTATTACTGCAATATCTCCAACTGCATTCCTGATTCCTCCCTTGTCCCCTCTATGGTCTCTTGTTCTCCCAAAAGCTACAGTGATCCCTTATAAACATATTTTAGGTTACAAGTACTATTTGCTCAAAATCATCTAGTGCTTTTCCATTTCACTCATAATGAAAGAGTCCTTATAACTGCCTATAAATTATGAGATGCCCTAAACTACAGACATATCTCTGACCTCATCTTTCTACTTTTCAATTCCTTTCTCATTCTACCTCAGCTACATTGGCTTCCTTGCTGTATTGCAAATATGCTAATCTTCTACCTGCATCATGGCCTTTTCATATGCTGTTCCTTCTACCTAAAAAGTTTCCATTCCAGATATCGACATAGTTCATTCTCTCACTTCTTTTGAGTCTCTGATGAATATTACCTTCTCATAAGGTATTCTCAGGTAACCCAATATGAAATAACACCAGTTTCAGTGGATGTGTTTATAAACACACATTAGAAGACTCTAGAAGGTGGAGACAAGAAGGCAGACTAACTAGGAACCTCAGGACCCAAGGTACAACACAACAGTGAAGTCCTTGGGTTTTCTTTTTGACTCATATTTCTGGGTGCTAGAGAAACCAGAATCCAGAAATGGTAACAGGCAAAGATAAAAGAAGTCTCAAGAAAACCCTCCTCTCTCTAGCCAAAGGACCAGGAAAAGGGCTGCCTAGTAGGACAGAAAACTTTTAGACAATAACTGCTTACTCCAGCCAAACACAACAGGAAAATCTGCTGCTCCAAACCCACCGCCAGAAAAGGGTGGTTGGAGAGCCTCAGCTTCCACTCTCACTAGGGTAGTATCAGGGGAGGCAGAGCAGAGACAGAAGACTTTTATTCCCACAGGACTGGAATGAGGTGCACTTTCCTCTCCCTATGGAAAGTGGTGTCAGAGGAGGCCTAGTGGAGACTGTGACCACTGCCCAGATATAACAAGGCTACCCTCCCCCTTATAGTGTCAGTGGAAGCCACTTGGGGAGCAGTAACAAGGCATCCCTGCCCCTAAAAGCCAGGGTGGTATCAGTAGAGGTCTGCTGGGAGCTGTAACAAACCCTCCTCGCACCACTATGTCAAAAGAGACCAAGTGGGTAACCTGGGCTTTCATTCCCCACCTGACAATGCCCTTCTCCCCCAACTAGAGCAGTGTCAGAGGAGGCCTGTTGAAACACAAAATTTAGATAAGATTCAGTCTTACAACACCCAAAATGTCCAGGTTTTAATTGTCATATAAAAAACTAGGAAATTCAACTTGAATGAGAAAAGACAATTGCCAGCATCTAGATGACACAGATTTTAGAATCACAAGGATTTTTCAAGCAGTTATAATAAAAATGCTTAAACAATAATGAACACACTTGAAACAAATGAAAGAACAAAGTCTCAGTGAAGAAACAGAAGATATAAAAAAGAACCAAATGTAACTTTTATAACTGAAATGTACAATAACCAAATTTTTAAAAAAATCAAGAATGAGCTTAACAGCAGAATGGAGGGGACAGAAGAAAGAATTAGTAAACTGGAAAATAGAATAATAGAAATTGCTGAATTTTCAACCTTCAGATTAATTCTACCAGTCATAGCCTATAAAACTTCCTGAACAAGAACATTTTTGTTTACTTCAGTTAAAACTATCCATTCTGATATTTAAATAGGATAAGGTATTTATATTAGTGTTCTTGCCTTTACTTCAGGCAGTTTGCATGTGGAATGCTTTGAAGACCCATAGGAAGAGCGTAAAGTAGACACCCCCCACTGGATTTACCAGAAGACTTTAAAACCTTTCCTTATACATCTCCTAGCTCATTGCTATCGCTCATCTAAATATGTTATATACATTCTTCTTTAAGTACATAATAGAAACTAGTTAAAAGCATAAGAATTACAAAAGAAATATGAAAACTATATTTGCAGATGATATGCATAGAAAACCCGAGACAATCAATGACAAAACTAACTTGAATAAAAGCATTAACTAAGACAGTGACTTATAAAATTTCATACAGAAGTCTATATGAATTTTCGGGGGACACAATTCATTCTACAACAGGTCTGTAGGAAAGTTGTTCTGTTCTTCACATTTTTTTTCTTATAGTATTTTTGTATGAATGCTGTGCTCATTCTCTTTTTGTTTCTTATATTTGAATTAGTTGGATTTTTCTCTATAATTAGGAGACTCCTGTCCTATGTGTATTGATGGAGGTGGGTGGTTCTCAGGGTTGGTTTCTAGCATGTACCTCCCAAGGACTCCCTCCTTAAAATATGAAACATTTTCTTAAAGAAATGGTTTGGTTACTAAGAATAGACACAAAACAGTTTTAAAAAATTAGTCAAAATTTGGACAGATTTATAAGAAGGACTTGAAAACAGTCAATAGCTTCTGGTAGTCCATAATGGTATAGTAGTCTTAGGAAACAATATTGGGGAGGTATTTCCAGGAATATGAAACAATACCTACTTTTAAACCCAAGTGCCTAAATCTCTAGCTAAGTACTCTAGGATGGAATCTTACTTCCCTTCGCCTTTGAGTCCTACCACTCCTACCTACACACACACACACACACACACACACACACACACACACACACACACACACCATGATTCAAAAAATAAGTTTTCCTTAATGATTTTATGTTCTACAAGGAACTCAATTAGCTCTAGAATTTACCCAATATTATTTGCTATAAAAATGCCAGCAGTGTTCCAAAAGCAGCTTAAAATATTTCTCTTACAAATATAAAATATTTATGGTATGGTTTTCTTTCTGTGGCAATTTGGGTTTCTACAATAATTCCACTGCCTGTAAAATTATTTGGCTTTCTAAAGTAAACAACTGATTAATTTTAGTATAACAGAATTTTCAGAATAAAATAAATAATCATTATTATTTTGAAACACAGACATCAATATGCTATGTTTTGTAAGGCAAAGAACTACAAATTTTTTTGAGTGGAGTAAACAAAACACTGCAATTCAAAAGTTTTAGGTTCCACAATAATGATCAATACTTAATGACATTCGTACCTGACAACCAGAGAAAAATGTTATTCCCTAGATCTTCTTTAAATTCATCATTAAAGAAATCAGTGGATTTTGGAAATGCTTCCTGGAATGTTGCACAGATAGCTTGTGCCAAACAATCAGGATACACCTACCAAAAACAGAGTCATATTAAAATAATTCCATATTTCATATAACATATCTCAACTATCAAAGAAATTACTAAATTTGTGAAATATACGTGTCCCTTTTTTCTTATAGCTTGCTTTTGGCCATTTAGTACTTCTTTGTATTTCTAACTGAGGAATATGAACAAAGAAGAGGTGAAAATAAAGTCAGTCAATTTGGCTATTTGTTAGCATTTTGGGGAAAAAAAATTTAATTTGGATAAAGGATGAAGTTACAATTAAGATAAGATACTCTAATGATTCTACATTTATTTCATTTAACCTTGCTATTGATACCCTCTTTCAGAAAAAGAACACTGTCTTTCAGGTCATTATAATAAAAAGCATATTATATATATTAATTGAAATATATTTGACATGTAATACTATGTGAGTTTAAGGTGTACAACATGTTGATACATTTGTTTACTGTAATATGATTACCACCATGGCATTAGCTAACACCTCTATCACGTCACACAATTATCACTTTGAGTGTGTGGTGAAAATAAAGAGCATGTTTTTAAATAACTGAAGCCTGTTTAGGTGAGTTAATATATTATAACCACAATTGTAAAATCATGATCCGATTTTATGTTTGTATCATACAAATAGATGGTACTATCAGTATTATATTAGACTTAAAGTCGCTTGACTACTAAGCTTCTCTTGGGGACTGACTAAACACAGGAAGATACCAGATTTTTATAGTAAAGATTTAAAATATTTTATCTACTATTTTGGAAGGCTGGCAGACACCAGAAACTAGAAGAGGCAAGGAATGGCTTCTCCCCTAGGGCCTCTTAAAGAAACTAGCCCTGTTGATACCTTAATTTTAGTCCTATAAGACTCATTTTGGACTTCTGACCTATATAACTGTAAGACAATGAATTTCTGCTGTTTTAAGCCACTAACTTTGTGATAATTTTTACACCAGCAATAGGAAACTAATATAGTCACCTAATCCAGTAGTGCTAAAATCTGCTGGTATGGATGGTATTCTTTGAAGAACTCCATAAGTTTTTTTGGGTAGGGGAGAAGAGGAGAGGGAAGAATGCTTTAATATACTGATATATTTAATTTTACTGAATAAACCATGAACATTTTTACTACCAGAAAAATCACATATTATAATTGTGGTATATAAAATCACACTAATAATCAAAATTTAAAAGTTGAACAAGGTAAGTAAGAGGAACTTTTAAAAGTTTTCTGTGAATATCTCACCTTCAGGAGATTAGGGGAAAAAGAGATCAAGTGTCAAATGGTGTTGGGAAAATTTCTGAAGGAATATCATTGTATGACATTGGAAGAAACTGAAGCAAAAGCTGTACTAAACATGTTTAGATTCAGTTAAGTTGTACTGAATAGTGAGACCTGAAGCTAATTTTTTGATTCTTAAATATTAATAGTTTTATCTTTCTGTGGTAAGATAAATCAGATGAGCCAATAGTAACAAAACACCTTCTTATCTGAATGAGCTAAAAATAATAGAAATTGGTCAATGAGAGTTGAGGCTCCATTTCTACTTATAGAGCTGTGGAGGTAATAGACCTGTAGGGAGGTGGCGTGGTTCTCAAGCATTGAGACAGGGAGAGGGAACATTATAAAATGACTGAACAAAGGTCAAGGGGTCAAATCATTAAGGTGTACATGTTATTTGTTCTCAAGTGAGGCTTTGAATCTTGGTTAAACAACTAATTTCTCCTTGGAAAAAGCCACTGAAAATAGGGACTTAGAAAAAAAATCAAGTCATGATTTGAGAAGGATTATAAATACAATATCTATCAAAAGGCACATCCATCCCAAGGGAGAACATTTGGACCATAAATGTAAGACTAGAAATTACAGAATAAGGGATATGCAATGGTGCCACTACCTCCTTTGTTCACACTAAATAGGTCTTTTATTCTTTTCTTAAGAGCCCTGTGTTAAAGCATGCTTGATTTCATCAAGCCATGTGTATAGGCTAGAAACACCACAAAGGGATAGACTAGGTGAAAGCGTATGGATAGGAGAATCAGCTGGTTTTGTCATCTCTAGACAATTTTAATGACCAAAAATCCTAATCATTAACTATTATTTTCCTGCAAATAAGAAAAATAAATTTAATATTAGCAGAGAAAATCTTAGTCTATGTTTCAGAACATTAGTGTTCTATAAACAATTTATGAATCATGGATCAATCTCTTCATCTGACGGACAACCAGCTGTGGAACTGAGAGACTGAATGTCTTGTGAAGATCACCTGGGTAATTACGAGCAGATTCCAGATGTGAAGCCACGTCCCTTATGCCCAGTCCACTACTGATTTCCTTCTACGACACTGTATGTATATGTTTGTGAGATTGATCAAGATTGAGCATAAATATTTGGCAATTTAAGTTTATGTTTTCATCATGAAGGACATTTATTTTTATTTTAGGTTTTACCCATGAAAACACTGACTGACTCAAAAATACTTCTGTATTTCTGAATTACAGATGTCCGTACAACAAAGTATTTGAATGTGGCTTCTGCTTTGAAACGCTAGATGTTTACATTTTAAAACACTCTCCGTGAAATTCCTACATGTCTTCATTTCACACTACTCAAGAACATAAATTATTTTAACCAAATTATTTTACTATAACAGACATAGTAAAACATTTGATTCATAAATTTGTCCATTGTTCTTTACTGTAACAGGTGCTTAGTACTTAGGCATAACACAAGAAGTTAAGTCTTCTTAGATCAAGATACTTTATAAAGTAAAATGATAATTTTGTAAGTAAAATACCAAGACTATACATAGAACAAGTCAATAGTTTTCAAATTATTAATATGCAAACAAATACATATACCACACTGAGGAGATTCTGTAAGGCTTTTAGTCAGTAGAATATAATATTCTGGGGTGGAGGGGCATGACTTTTAAAATATTATCATTATTTACTCTATTTTAGGCAGTTTTGCTTGCAAAGTAACAAAATATGTTCTCATATGTGTTTAAATAACTATTTTTATATTTCACTTGCTATAAAAATAATTAGCATAATTAATTTCTATATTTACCTGAAAGAATGCATCCTTTCGACTTAGAGGTATGCTCATGAAAAGTGACACATAACTTTCTGAAATTCTATCAAACAAGGAATCTTGACTTTCTCTGTCAGGCTTAAAAAATAAAACACACATGGAATTAAAAACATTAATGTTACAATTTAAAATTAGAATCTGTTTACATAATGTCAGTAACTCTATCTTCTTAAAGGGCAGATCAGTTGCTATAGTGGAATGAGCATGGGTTTTTGGCATCATGCAGACCTGAATTTGAATGCTGGCTCCATTATTCATTAGCAGCACTATCCCAGGCAAGTTAATTAAGTCCTAGTTTCCTTATCTGCCAAATATAGATAATATACACATACCTTAAAGTATTGTCTTAAAATTAAATAGGGACAAGGATATTTTGTTTGACTTTGTATTTCAAGCCCTCAGCATGGTGCCTGGCACACTGAAAGCACACCAACATTTGATGAATTAATGAAGGTTCTTGAATAGTACTTGGCATGCACAAAGCAATCAATGACATAGTTGCCTGCTATTATTCTATAACCATTCCAAATTTTTCATAATCAGTAACTCAGTATAAAATCAAAGCAATTACTGGAATGAGACAGCCATAGCCAGAACTAGTAAAATTGTGACATGAGAACTATACTAAAAACAAAGTAAGTAGAATGTCATAAGAAGGAAGAAATCTGTAGATAATAATAATGTCAATATTAAAGTCCTAAAGTAGCACCTTGAATTCTTGCTCTATTAAGCAATGAAGAGATAAATTAAAGTGCAAATCCATGAATTAAATAAAGCAATAAAGATGAATTAGAGTCCAAATTCATTTATGATGTCAACAGTAGAAGCATAAGCTGGCATTAATAGATTTTGGTAATAAACATAAAAAATGATCAAATTTAGTGGTAGTTTTCTAAGAAATTAGCATGCCATATGAGCTGGGATTCATAAATGCATAGGATCTTAGACCGAAAATGGAAGTTAGATATCACCTAGGTTAAGCCCCTCTATTTTAGTGACTGCATTGATGCTCAGAAAGATTAAGAGAATTATTTAAGGTTATACACAGTTAAGTAACTGAAAGCCAGACTAGAATCTAGGTCTCCTAACTCCCAAAACAGCTTTTATGCTTGTGTAATAAGTTTATGGAAGGAGATAGTAGCAGAAATAATAATGATAATGTTAACAATTCTTGATCATTTATATAATGGGCAGTGGTTCTAAGACTTAGGGCTGTGTGAGAATTAAATGAGATAATATATAATTTACTAGTAGAGAAAGTTGGCATGTTTCAGTTACATGATCTACACTTAACATGTGTGATGAAATACCCAAACAGAAAGTTGTAGAACATGTCTTTGACTAATACAATTCAACCTAATGTCCACACCATATATACCTCCACAGGAAACTGAGTAGCAAAATGGTACAGTGAATTTTTATACATGTTTTGGTATGCTTGAAAAGAAAACGTATCCTACAGCTTTTGGATATTCACGTTACTGATACGTTCATTAGATCTAGCTATTTAACATATGTTAAATCATACTTACATTCCAGGAATAAATTTCATTGGTCAGATTGTATAACTCTTTTAATATACTGCTGAATTCAGTTTGCTAGTATTTTGTTGAAGATTTTTGCATCAATATCCATCAAAGAGGATATTGGTCTGTAGACACTTTTTGCTGTAATATCTTTGGCTTTGGTATCAGGGTAATGCTGGTCTCATAAAATGAGCTAGAAAGTATTCCCCTCTCTTCAATTTTTTGGGAGAGTTAGAGAAGGACTGGTGTTAATTCTTCTTTAAATGTTGGCAGAATTCATCAGTGAAGTCATCTAGTCCAGGACTTTTCTTTGTTGGGAGGTTTCTGATTACGGAAACCTGATTGAATCTCCTTACTAGTTATAGGTCTATTCAGATTGTCTATTTCTTCATTATTCAGTCTTGGAAAATGGTATGTTTCTAGGAATTTGTCCATTTTATACAGGCTATCCAATTTGTTGTTATATGTTTGTTCACAGTACTCTAATAATCCTTGTTATTTCTTTGCCAATAGTAATGTTTCCACTTTCATTTCTGACTTCAGTAATTTGAGTGCTTTTTTTTGGCTACGCTGAAAGGCATATGAGCTCTTATATGAGATCTTAGTTCCCCAACGAGGGATCAAACCCATGCCCCCTGCAGTGGAAGCACGGAGTCTTAACCACTGGACTGCCAGGGAAGTCCTCACTTTTTTTCTTAATCTAGCTACTGGTTTGTCAATTTTGTTGATCTCAAAGAACTAACTTTTGGTTTTACTGATTTTCTCTACTGTTTACCAATTCTCTATTTTATTTATCTCCACTCTAATCTTTATTAATTCCTTCCTTCTTTGTTGTTCTTCTTCTAGTTCCTTAATATGTAAAGTTAGGTTGTTGATATATTGCTTTTTGATTTGTTTAAAACTTTAAATTTGTCTTTTAGCAATGGTTTTGCTTTATCCTATGAGTTTTGGTACACTGTATTTTTTGCTTTCATTTGTTTCAAGTTATTTTCTAATTTCCCCTGTGATTTATTCTTTGAATCATTGGTTGTTTAAGAACTCTTATACATCAACAATGTGAGAATAATTTGTACATCCAGTTTGGAAACAACTTGGCACTACCTTGTGAAGTTGAACATCTTCATACCCAACAATGCAGCAATTCCATTCCTTCTCTATGTGTCTTGCAATTTTTGTTTGAGAGATGGACATCTTCAATAGGACAGTAAAACCTGAGGTATAAAGTAGTTATGCTTGGGAATAGGTATGTCTCTTCTCTTGTTAGCCTTTAGGGTCTGAGTCAATTAAGTAAAATGTTAAGCTCCATTTGGGTTTTGGTTTTGCTATGGTTACTCTCAGTGAAACAGAGGCTTCAAATTCCTCCTGCATTGCCTTGTTTTTAGAATTCTTGAAGACCCACCTTTTGAATTCATTTTCTCTAATTCCTTCTGTTTTTCAGTTTTTCCTTTTATTGGTTTCCTCTCTGATCTTTATTATTTCCTTTCTTCTGCATACTTTGGTTTTCATTTCTTTTTCTTTGTCTAGTTTCCTACAGTAGAAGTTGAGGTCATGGTTTTTGAGAACTTTCCTTATTTCAAATTTAGACATCTTAAGGCTTTAAATTTCCAAATACTGCTTGAGGTCCATCCCACAAATTTTAATCTGTATTTTCATTTTCATCAAGTTCAAAATACTTTTCAATTTCCCTACTGATTTCTGGTTCGACCCACAGTTCCTGAGAAGTGTGTTATTTAGTTATCAAATATTTGAAGATTTTCCAGGTAGCTTTCTGTTATTCATTTATAATATAATTTCATTTTGGTCTAAAAACATACCTTGTATGACTTGAATTCTTTTCATTTCATTAGGATGTTTTCCTATCCCAGAATATAGTTGGTAAAGGTTTAATGGGTACATGAGAAAAATGTGTATTCTGCTGTTGTTATGAGGAATGTTTAATAAATATCAATTAGATCCATAAAGTTGGTTAACAGTATTGCTCAAGTCATCTACATCATTCTATATCATTAACTGGTTTTCTGCACATACGACCAATTATTGAATATAAGGTGTTGAAATACCTAACTATACTTATAGATTTGTCTATTGCTTCTTTAAGTATTAAAATTTTTCATTAAATGTGTTTCAAAGCATTTTAATTAGGTACAAAAATATTTATGATTGTTATGTCATATTGATATATTGACTACTTTATAATTATACAATTACTTTCTTTTTCCCCGGTAATATTCTTTGCTTTGAAGGCTACCCTGTATAATGAATTCAAAAAAGTTGTGATTTTTGTGGGTTATATATGGCTTGTCTTTGTTATTTTATGAGTGGAATTGATGTACTTTCCAGCCTCCTGAATCTTTTTTGGGAGCCAATGTTCCAAGGACAATTTTGATAACATTAAGGGTATATCATTACTGGAATTCTTCTAGTTAAACACCATCAAGAAAATTTTTATCATTAGCCTACACGTTGGCCAGCAATTTTTGGAACACTGCATTCTCACTAATAATATAATAATAAATAATAATGATAGATGTAACCATTGAACACTTACCATATACCTACTTCCATGTAAACAACTTTACATGCATTTTCTAATATAACTCCCAATAAACAGATAAAGTAGGTAATTTTTAAAATTTTATGAAAGACTTAGAGAGGTAAGTAACTATTCAAAGTGACATCATTTTCTAAGTGGATAAATTTGTTTTTGAAGGCCAGATCTTAATTCTATTATATTGAATCTCATATTACATTTATATAGTATTTCCACAGTTTACTAGGGATCTTATTCATGTCACTTTTAGAACACACAACAACTCTAGGAAAAAAGAAAGTATATGTTATTTTTACCTGTTTTTTGTTTGTTGTGTTTTATTTTGTTTTAGAGAGATGACATAACTGAAGCTCAGAGTGATTTTCTGACCAGCCCAAAGTCTCACACTAACTACTGGGGAAGCCAGATTTAAAAATTTAATTTCCTGGATTCCAGTGCAGCACTTTTTCTACTAGTTCAAGCTACCACTACATCATAGGCAATAAAGGAAATCTGCTTTTATATTAGTCACCTAACAACTACTGAAATAAGTTTTAGAGTCAGCATACTGAACCATGCTATATTCTAGAGTATGATTATATATATATTTTTTCATATTATGCTGTTGGTAATTAAATTGTACAAGTGGCTCAGGGTTCTATTCCAGTTATAAAGTCATTATTGTTTATTATTCATAAAGTAGATCCAAAAATAGATAGAATTTATGTGTTTTGTACTCACCTGAAAACGTAGTACAGCTTGAAATAGGAGCTAACCTACCAAAACAGATATTCCCACACAATGCTGGTAAAAATGTATGGGCATGCACCACACTTATTTGGTGGATTTAGGAAACTAAGAGGTCATGCTATTTATCTAGTTCACTGGCTTCAATACATTTATATTTAACAACGAATCCTCTTAGAAATAAAACCATAGGTGATATGTAATGAACAGAACAGATGAAAGAGGAGCTGTTCTGGTTAAATCATGGAAATGTTGCTTCAATATGGCTTGGATAC